CTACTCTTATCACTGGCTAGCCCTCAATAAGGCGGGTGTCCAAGGATCCTTGCTACTCTTATCACTGACTAAGTGTTAGGATGTTTATTGATAAGGCATGTGTCCTTGAAACCTCGCTACTCTTATATCACACTAGTCACTGATAAGGCAGGATTTCCTTCCTACTCTTATCACTGGCTAGCCCTCAATAAGGCGGGTGTCCAAGGATCCTTGCTANCTTATATCACACTAGTCACTGATAAGGCAGGATTTCCTTCCTACTCTTATCACTGGCTAGCCCTCAATAAGGCGGGTGTCCAAGGATCCTTGCTAATCTTACCACTGAATGAATGTTAGGTTGATCAATGATAAGGCAGGTGTCATTGAAACCTCACTACTCTTATATCAGACTAGTCACTGATAAGGCAGGATTTCCCTGCTACTCTTATCACTGACTAGCCCTCAATGAGGCGGGTGTCCAAAGATCCTTGCTACTCTTACCACTGAAAAGAATGTTGGATTGGTTAATGATAAGGCAGGTGTCCTTGAAACCTCACTACTCTTATATCAGACTAGTCACTGATAAGGCAGGATTTTTCTGCTACTCTTATCACTGGCTAGCCCTCAATAAGGCGGGTGTCCAAGGATTTTTGCTCTTACTACTGACCAAGCGTAAGGCTCATCGGAGTTAAGGCAGGCTTTCCCTGCTATTCTTACCTTCACACAAGTCTTATCGACGGATCAAGTTATTGTCTTTGATGACATTCGAGCCCTGAATCGTTGTTAGTTTAAGAACTTATGCTGGGGTAGATGCATAATGAGAAATGATCGGTGTGATCCATGGCAATTGATTATAGCCAACTCAAATCAAGGGTACCCATCATTGTTTAGATGGAGTATAGAGAAAATGATCGTGAGAGGTTGATCCCTTGTATCCATGTTTCCAACTTGAATCAATGCCCACACAGCAAGATCGTTGTACCCAGAAGCAATCAGTTTCCACTCAGCCAACCCTTTCTCTACCCGCAATCCAAGACCTTTGTCCATCCCTTAATCCTCGAAGAGTTATAGATCCTGAATCCCTACCCCTTATGATCATTGTTACGGATGATAGCCTATATGAAACAACAACTGGGTCGAAGTAACGTACCTCGTCGTTCCCTGCCTCCAGAGTTCCGCCTGAACTCCGGCAGAGCTCCCGCAATCGCCCTGTTACTGACCATGTGTGATTTATGCAATCAACTGCTGGTCCTTAAATTAAATTGAGGCCATGATTAATTCATGGGAATCATGTCATCAACCATTAAACCGAGGAGGCAGGCATCTGAGAGGACCAACAGGGATAAGTACGGCCAAGGATGAAGGAGGTGCGTGCTTATCGCGAAAGGATATCGTCACCTCCCTCTCCAACGCTCATTGCTCTCTCTTTATCTTTGGCCCCGTATGATGCCTAACTTGAATGATAGCAATAGTAGCGACAATAATCAAGCAATAACAATAATGAAAAAAAACAAAAAATACCAATAATAATGACATAAGTAGTAATAATAATAATAATAATAATAATAATAATAATAATAATAATAATAATAATAATAATAATAATTTTAATAATAAAACAATAACAATATTGGTAATAGTGATAACACGTGTGGTCATAGCGATACCATGTCTTCTATTTTGTCGCTACATGGCCTTAGCCTATTCCGATCTACTACTATATTCGTGTCTCCTCTGCCCATATACAGTTGAAGATCGAAGATCAAGACGATGATTCTCATGGAGAGTGTCTCCCAATCAGGTACGTATCTCCTCACTCTCTTTCTCTTACCTCTTCCTTCCTTTTACACTTTTC